CTGACACCACGGCACTCTAGCCCAGGCAACAGCGCGAGACCCTGTCTCAAAATAAATAAATAAAAAGAAGAACTGGCAGATTGATCCAGTAGATCAATTATCTAGTTAAGGGAAGTTGTAGGAAGAAAAGAGGGTAAAACAAGAGGGGGAAGACATTATCAAACAAAGAATACAAGAAAATGTCCCATATTGAAAGAGCCTACCAGATGTACAAAACAACGAATGAAAAAGGCCCATACAAAGGTACACAAAAGTATACCACTGCAAAATTTCAAGGATAAAGAAAAGATTCTAAAATTTCCTTAAAGAGGACAGGAAAAAGAGATCATATAAAAGGGATGAGAAATCAAAATGGCATGAGACTTCCCAACTTGAACAACACTGGAAGTCAGAAGGCCACCAAGCAATGTCTTTAACATTCTGAAAGAAAAAGCTTTTCCAACCTGGAACCCTGTACTCAAACTATCAATCAAGCATAAAAGTAAGATATTTTAAAACATGGAGGCTTCAAAATTTAATTACCATGTATCATATCTCAAGAAGCTACTCCAGCACAATGAAATGGTAGGCCAAGAAAAAGGAAGGCAGGAGATCCAGGAATTAAGGGATCCAGAATAGGAGTCCCAGAATGAAAACTGTGAAACAGGCCTAAAGAGCAGCCAGTAGAGAGTACAGCAAGAAGACAGAGGTCTCCAGGAGAAATGTCACCTGGGAAAAAACTTAACTGATAAGTTACTTTAATATGTTTTACCACATACAAAATAATACTGAAGGGCTTTACAGATGTATCTGAAAAGACTTAGTAACAACAGAAAGCTAAAGGAATAAATAAATGTGGCAATTATTAACATTGGAAAAGATTAAATTACCCAGAAAAAAAAACAAAAGAAAAAAATATGATCATTGTCTACTAGAAGTCTCAGCAATAAAAAATATTAATACTATAATAGTATACCATAATGATACAAACAATGAATATCAAATAAGCCAAAAAGAAAAATAGAAAGACTAGAGAGCAGATGTTTAAGGAAGGGGTACTTAATAACTAAATCTTTCTCTATCATACTAAGAAGTCAACAGATATTTAAAACTGATAAACTAAGAAATAGTGGTGCAAGCATAAAAGAGAAATATGGATATAAATCCAGAAAAAAACGAAGAGCTCAAGTGTTGAAATCAGTTGCTCCTAAAAGCTAGATAGATGGGATTTAAAGGGGTCAGGAAGGAACTGCTGTTTTTCACTATAAGCTTTGCAGTATGTATGAGTGTAACTTCCCTGAAAATAAAAATTAACATAAAAAACTACTTAACTTCAAATCCAAGGAGTAACTTTCTCAGTAGAAGAATGTTCTATACATTTTTATTTTTTATTGTATTTATTTATTTATGAGACAGGATCTTGCTCTCGGGCTCAAGAGATCCTCCTAGTTCAGCCTCTCAAGTAATTGAACTACAGGCACATACCACTGCACCCAGCCAGATTTTCATTTATATAAAAGAAAATCCACAAAGTACAAAACATATCAAGTAAGCAAAGAATACAAAAAGAAATAACAATCCAACTGAGAAAAAAATTTGAGCAGTCTTCCAAACAGGAGGAATATAGTTTACAAAAATTTTAATTTTCCATAGTTGTACTTTTCGAAATAAAGTATAACTTTATTTTCCTCATGGGCCAGAGAAACTTAAGTAGACTAAAGACGTGAAGACTCACTGAAATCGTTTTTAGGTCAAGCCAAAAGCACCTCTCAGCATTGTATTTTTATATGAACTTTCATCCAGAAAGCTGTTCTATCTGCTCATCTCATAAAATGAATCAGGGCCAACTAGTTTCCCTGTATCTAGACAAGCTCTGCAATTCAGAGTATTACTGCCAGTACAAAGTTCTGACTATACCAAAGGTAAAATGACTTTAAAACAAATCAACTAATTAAATCCATTTCTCAGCAAGCCACACAAGGAAGGTCTTTCATTAAGCAAAAGACAGACTGAGCTATTTTCCATGAGTGTGGGAGGATGGGGTTTGAACACAGAAGACAAAAACAATTACCCTCATAATGAACCTTTCCCTAGTCTGAGTAATGATGTCCACTGTAGACAAGGGGACAAGGAACATGCAGAGTAAAGAGATAAAATTTCAAGTCAGATATTCTAGCATGATTTCATGGTTTAAAATATTGTAAAACACAGTAGTTCTACCAACATTCCAATGAATAAGAGACAGTATGTACTCTAAAATCAAAAATACATCTATCTGTTCGTTATCTATAACAATCCTAAATACAAAAAATGAAGAACTGACCTCAATGCCAGAAAGTGAGCAAAGAAATATCTTACCTTGTTTAATTTTGAGCAACATGATCTGGCATTAATGTAATCACACTCTAAATCAGACAATGTAATTATCTGATGATCAAGATAAGGAATTATTACATTTCTCTTATAACAACTAAATATTTAAGTTTCAAAAAGCAATCCCAGTTGTAAGGCAGAATCGGATCTGACTTGAAAAAAATTTAGTTACTTCCTTAAAGTTTGCTCATTAGAGAACTCAATTTTCTCATTTATGTTCCTTCAACAAATTATTTTCACAAAATAATCCTTCTATGCTCAAGTCTAATCTGGCCCATTCCAGAAGATTTAGTCTGAGATCCTCAAATGTGGAAAAATGGCAATAAAATGGAAAATAAGACTTACAAAAATATTTTAGAAGTTAAAAATCTGAATTTCCAGTAGTAGAAAAATAGTGTTTATGATATATCCATAAAATATCTTTATTTTTTTTATTTTTTTTCTTCATGTCAGATGGGTAATGTGCCGACAAGATGACAAGGTTTGAGGGAGGCACCTCTCACCCATGCACGTGAAAACCCAATCATGATTATGAACTACAAAAGAGTCATAAAATATCTTTAAAGACTTAAGATGTCACTAAAGCAAACAGGATACAAAACTATAACTTTACCATAGTCGCATGTTGGCAATGGTTATGTTTTTAAAGTTGAATTACAGGTGATTTTTTTCCCCTTAATACTTTTTTCTACCTTCCAAACTCTCCACATCAAACATATTATATTGGAATCAGGCAAAAAATGCTTTTTTTAGTACAAAGTATAAAGTCACAAATAAAATTTGAGGGACAGAAAGACATAAAGGAAAAAGTCGTCAATTGAATGATACAATTTCTGGGATTTACTTTAAAATGTTCCATCCTCTCTCCCAATAGTTGGGGGAGAAATGTAAGAGAATAGCATGACCAGGAGTGGTGGCTCATACCTGTAATCCTGGCACTTTGGGAGGCTGAGGAGGGAGGATCGCTTGAAGTCAGAAGACCAGCCTAAACAAGTGCAAGACCCTCTACTTTTTAAATAGAAAAAGTAGCCAGGCATGGTGGCGCATGCCTGCAGTCCCAGCTACTCCAGAGGCTGAAGCAGGAGGATTGCTTGAGCCCAGGAATTTGAGGTTGCTGTGAGCTATGCTGACACCACTGCACTCTAACCCAGGTGACAGAGCAAGACCCTGTCTCAAAAAAAAGAAAAGAAAGAATGGTAAATGTTGAAAATCACTGAAGGGGATCACTGAGGGATTTATTACACAACTCTCGATACTTCCGTTTATGTTTGAAAATGTCTACTAAAACAAGTTTTTAAAAATGTTCTCAACTAAATACTAAATATTTCCATATAGATATTCCCCCTATTGCCTCAATACATCTAAAGTCAAATTCATCACTTTCTCTACAAATTGTTCCTCCTCCAATTTGTTTTATTTGTCAATGACACAAGCATCATTTGCCCAGTCTCAAAATATGGAAAGATATCTCTGCCTTCTATTTAATATCTCACAATCAATCATTAACAGGTCCTAGTAATCATTTCTTTCTAATAACACTCACATTATTTCCTTTTCTCTGCCCACAGCTAGTACTCTATTTGAAATCCAGATGAACCTATCCCCTACTGGTTTATCTTCCAATCTCTCCTGTTTCCAATCCGCTCTGCAGATTCATCTTCCTAATAAACCACTTTGTTCATGTCAAAAATTTTTTTTCTTTTTTTCTTTTTTTTTTAACAATGTCAAAAATTTTCAATGGCTCCCTATTGCCTGCAGGATAAAAGTGAAAGCCTCCTTACCCACTTAACATTCAAGCCCTCCTTACTTCCCTTACAGGTCCACAGTAGGGAAAAAACAATAAGCATTCAAGCTTTCCAAAATCTGATCAAATCTTACCTTTCTGATCTGACCTTCCACTACCACTAAAAATCAACCAAGTGCTCCAGATTGTCTATTTATTAACTGTCACCCAGAAATGCCACAAATGTACCTGTCTCTGCACCTTCGCTCTTGCCAGTGTCTGATTTTGAATATTCACCCCTTTGCCTTTCTGTAGGTTTTGTCCACAGTTCAAAGTCCAAGAAAATGCCTATATTCCCCACATGAAATCCACCTTGACCATTTTCCACCTCTTATCTCTAATATGAAGTTAGTGCAACTATCCTAAAATACAGAAATATAATACACTGAATTTCATCAAAACATATCCTGAATGTACCTTAATGTAATGGTCTACCAAGTCGAACATTCCAATTAATAAATATTTCTCTACATACATTAACTGGCGTAAGCCAAGGCTATTTTAAATTATCAAACCTACTTTTCCAAACTGCAAAAAGGACGACCCCCCCCCCCGAAAACAAAAGGTTTCATTTCTCTGAGTATAAGCTCTAGTTTCTTAGAGCTTATAGAGCTTATGTCCTTCAAGAGGGACATAAGTCATGAAAACTTAAGCAAGTGGCCAGGTTCGGTGGCTCATGCCTGTAATTAGCACTTTGAAAGGCTGAAGAAGGAGGATCCCTTGAGGCCAGGAGTTCAAGACTGGCCTGTGCAACATAGCAAGACCTGATCTCTACAAAAAATTTAAACATTTAAAAATTAGCCAGGTGTGGTAGCACGCACCTGTAGTCCCAGCTACTAGAGAGGCTGAGGCAGAAGGATTGCCTGAGCCCAGGAGTTTGAGGTTCCAGTGGCTATGATGACACTACTGGACTCTAATCTACAGAGTGAGATCCTGTCTGAAAACAAAACACTTAGGCAAGTGATGCTGTCCTTTCAGTCAGCTCCCCAAATCTAATAAAACTCAGGGCTCTTTTCATTAGAAATCATCAAAGTAAAAACTGCTGCTCAACTGGGGAGAGTGGGGAGAAGAAGGTAGGGCAATAATTACTGAACCTTAGCTATGGGGCAGGCTAACATTCGCAACATGTTCTGGTTGGACATATCTAGGACATAAACATTTCCCATCTTAAAGATAAGAAAACTGACGCTTACAGAGAAGAAGTAATGTGCACAGCAAAGAACTAGCTGAGCAGGAAGTCCTGATTCCAAATTTTGTCCCTTTCCACTGCAACTGGCTGCTTGTCCACAATAAAGCATGAAGCCACAATGAACACATACTCTGTAGAGTTAACCTAAAGCCAGCATGTTCTGACAAACAAAACGTTTAATTTGATCAGAAAGGGATACATGTGATTTCTAAAGAAAGACGATAAAATTCAGAGTTCCTCATACATATTTCCTCTCTTATATTTAATTACTTAAAACGGGATTGTGCATTACAACCTTGGCAACAACTAAGAGTAGATGCTCCCTCAAGAGCAGGGAAGAGCTGTAGCCCACATGGCTACTACAGTACTACTATTTTCAACAACAACAATTTATCTGGAAAATACAGTTTGAACACTGTAACATGCACAACTACACAAAATACTTAAGTTTTAACATGGAGCCACAGAAAGATTTAAAAGTTGAGAAATGACTGGGAGGTAAATCACATGTAGTTATTTAATTTACAAATCTGCAACCGCGAAGGACAACCAAAATAATCACTTTGCTGATAGTTGTTTGTTTTTTCTAATAACTCCTTCCCAACAATCATCGTGAAAAAAGCACTTTGCCCGTCTCTGGAATGAGTCAACTCCTGGATGTGCAAGGTGCCTACAAGTACCAACACCCCGAGAACAAAGGGGCGGCGGCGGGGTGCTGCCCGGGAATGACAAGAGGCAAGTCTCCTTCGCTCGTCCGGCACCCGGCCGCCAGAGAGCAACCGCCCCTGGGACCCCGGGGTGCGACAGAGGGCACGGCGCAGGGCTCTCCAAGACAAACGGCGACCTTCCTCTCCCGAAGGCCAAAAGGGAGGCCGAGGGCAGTCGTCGCTCAGGGCAGGCTGGTCTGGGCGTAGTGGGGACGCCGGTGGGCAGGTGGGCAAGCTGGGCCGGGGCACGCCAGGAAGGCCCACCCGGCCCTGGGGTGAGGGGCGGCCGGCAGCCCAGGCAGGGCCAGGCTGGGTAGGGCCGGTGGGGCTCTCCTCCCCGTCTCGGGCCCGCGCCACCGCCCCGGACGGACCAGCACCCAGAAGCCTCGCGCCGGGCGCCTCCCTCGCTCCCGCACACCTGCTGGGGCGCCCCCCCCCCGGCCCCTCCGGTGGCGGGCCCCAGGCCGGCCTCCGCCCGCCTCAGGCAAGGATACGAAGTAGACCGAGAGGAAGATGAGCGCGCAACAATCGAGGAGGGAGAAGACAAACACCACCGCCTCCATCCTCCTCCTCCTCCTCCTCCTCCGCCGCCGCCGCTCCTTCCGTCAAACCGGCTCCGATGCCCCGACCCGCCCAGGCCCCAGCCCGGGCTCGCTGGGGCGCGCAGTCCTTGCCGGGAGTTGTAGTCCATTTTTTTAAAAAACTCTACCGCCTTAATTGTGATGCATGCTGGGAAATATAGTTCCTGTGTTTCAAAGGAATACACAAAGAGGTGGGCAGGGCCTAATAATCTGATTATTTTCAGAAATAGTGACAAGCAATTAGTCAACGAGCATTTACTGAATGCTTTTAATCTGGATATTCAGTAGAATTTATTTGCTGTGCGTGAAATTTTCTTAAGTGTCTTCTCTCAACCCACTGCATTCCCCGAATTGGGAGTTGCTTACTAGGGGGTTTTCATCTCAAAAGCATAAATCTAACCTTAATACTTGTAGCTAGACAATTGAGATTTGCCTTTCCTTGCGTGATCTCAATTTCTCTGGAGGTTTCACAGTCCCTTCTTTATCCTCTGTTACGACAATGTTTACCTCCCTCTAGATTTTAAGATCTTTAAAAAGTAAATACACCAGCCTGAGCAAGAGTGAGACCCCGTCTCTACTAAAAAAAATAGAAAGAAATGAGCTGGACAACTAAAAATATATATAGAAAAAAATTAGCTGGGCATGGTGGCGCATGCCTGTAGTCCCAGTGACTCGGGAGGCTGAGGCAGTAGGATCGCTTGAGCCCAGGAGTGTGAGGTTGCTGTGAGCTAGGCTAACGCCACAGCACTCACTCTAGCCAGGGCAAAAGAGTGAGACTCTGTCTCAAAACAAAAACAAAAACAAAAAAAAACAAATACAGTAGTCCCCCCTTATCTGCAAGGATATACTCCAAGACCCCCACTGGATGCATGAATAGTACCAACCCCTATGTATACTGTTTTTTACTAAACATACATACCTACAATAAAGTTTAATTTATAAATCTGGCAAAGTAAGAGATTCATGACTAATAATAAAATACAACAATGATAACAATATACTGTAATAAAAGTTATGTGAATAACTTTCAAAATATCTTATTGTACTGTACTCTTCTTGTGATGTGAGATGATAAAATCCATATGTAAAGAGATGAAGAAGCAGACGCAGCCTTTCCAGTAATTTTTATATTTTTCAGTCCAAACTTATTCCTGAATCTGTATAACTGTCCATTACTTGCCGTAAATGGCTTGGTATCACTTATTTCAGGGCATCCCTTGCTGAAGCCTTTGTATATATAGGCTTAGTGCTTTCTGGTGCAACATGTTGCCATCACTTGGAACATGTTTTCTGTTCATGTCTTCTGCCCACAAATTTAATGCCTTCTCTATCTTAACTAAGCACTGATCACACACTGTGGCCATAACTTTTGCAGTTTAAAGTTCAACAGCAAAACTGGCATAAATTTCTTTTTCCTTCTTCACAATTTCACGGATAGAAGATATGTCCTTACCATAGAGCTTACTAATCTCATCATATGATTTTTTTCCTTATTAAGTCAAGAACTTTCACCTTTTCACTTACATGAGGCATTTTACAGCTTCTCTTTGGTGTATCTGAATTGCTAGCATCACTAGTATTGCACTTTGGGGCGTTTATTAGGTAAAATGAGGGACACTTGAACACAAGCACTTTGATACCTGGACAGTTAATCTGACAACTGAGATGGCTACTAAGTGACTAACAGGCAGGTGGACAAAGGCACGATTCATGTCCCAGGCAGGAATGGAACATGATGGCAGGAGATTTCATCACACTACTCAAACCAACACACACTTTAAAACTTATTAATCGTTTATTTCTGGAATTTTGCATTTAATATTTTAAGACCATGGTTCACTAAAGGTAACTGAAGCTGCTAAAAGCAAAACCGTGGATAAGGGGAGACTACTATATTTACTGACAACACCCCTACTACTGGCCAAGAGCTGCTCTAGACTCTGGAGATACAGAAATGAACAAGGCAAACAAGATGCTGTTTTGGTAGGGTGAGTAGGAGGAATGGGCAATAAAATAGCAACTAAGTACAGGAAAAAGATAACTTCAAGGGGTGATAAGCTCTCTGAGTCAAAGTTATTCATTCAACCAATATTTTCTGAGCAGCTAGAATATGTAAGGTACTATTTCAAATCTTAGAGATACAGGATGAACAAGAGGGAAAATGTCTCTACAAGCCTGTAGCTTACATTACAGTGGGGAAGACAGACAACAAAATAAATCTATTAATGACAAGTACTTTGTCATTATAAGTACTTTGAAGAGGACAGGGAATCACTTGGAGACTGAGTGATCGGAGAAAGCCAAGCTGAGGAACTGACATTTAAGTAGAAATGTGAAAATAGCTATGTGAAGATTTGCAAGCAGAATGTTTCAGGCAGTAGGAACAATGATTCCAAAGGCTCCATTGCATGTAGAAGCTTGCTGTGTTTAAGGAACAGAAAAAAGACCAATGTGGCTAAAGCGCACTAAATAAGGGTGGGATAGTTTTGAGAGGAAATCAGAGGGAGGAAGGGTAAGGTCACATGGACTTGTAGACCCTTGGCAAGGAGTATAACTTTTATTCTAATACAGTGAGAAACCACTGGAAAATTCTAAGCAAGAAAGTACCTTGATCTGATTTATGTTTTAAAAATATCTTCCTGGGAGTTTGGTGCATTGAATGTAAGAAAGCTAGACAAGCTTGTCAGCAGAGAGATCACTTAGATCAGAGGATGGATAGGGGACTTAGTACAAAGGCAAAACCTACTGGATTTGCTTGACACAGCATAGGTTCAGAGATTCATAAAGGGTTCATAGGTTAAATCTAGATATACAATTAACAGATTATTCAATGAAATAATGAAAACAGCTATCACTACACTCCCATTGTACCTTGTACATGCCTCTGTTGGAACACTCATCACATCAACTGTCTTCCTTACATGCTTAGCTAGTCACGCCTTAGATTATGATAAAAGTAACAGATTGTATTAGTTTTTATATTCCCTAATATCTTCTATCCTGTAAATAGCTGGTGCTTAACAAACAGTTGCTGAATTAATGAGCCACACTGATTATAAGGAGAGATTTTATCGAAATTACTCCAGATTCTATTAGAAATACAAAACTTATCTCACACAGGTTCCCCCTCAAATGGTAAGGACTCCATTAATAAAGAACAGCTTCTCTAATTTTTGTACCTCTCTCAACATAGGACCAAAGAGAAACCCAAATATGACCCCCCCACACAAAACACACAGATACCCTGCTTCTGGTTAGCCCACCTACAGCTTCCCTATGCCAACAGCCTTCAATTAGGGCATACCTGAAGCCTTTCCCTTTTCCCCGCTATACAGCTTTCCCACTCCTCTGCCTGCCTTTGAGCCTCTGCCAAAATCCAAGTGATGGTGGCTGACTGCCTTGCTATAGCAAACTCTGAACAAAACTCTTTTTCTGTTCTCATTTGTTTCCAACTCATGAATTTTGAGGGACACATTCAAACCACAGCACAACCCATATGTCCATTGATGGATAAATGAATAAGCAAAATGTGGTATACGCATACAATGGAATATTATTTAGC